CTGTTCTCCTACTCTCGACAGGTAGTTTCTTGAGAATATTGATCTGAATATTCTTAAGGATAACCTGACGAACTCTCAAGGGACATATAAGCATCGATCTGGAAATACCGGCCTCAATTCAAGATCTCAACAACGGTCAAGCGATAAACGCAGTGCCGGAGAAGCATTAGCTATTCTACAAAGAACTGAATAGACTAATGGATGAAGAGATCAAGAGTCGAAGCCATTTTACAGATTCTCCTACACGATCTACTCAATCAAGCATTGAAGGGATCGTAAGTAAATCTATCTTATCCAAAGTATCCCAGACTCCTCTATAAAAGAATGAGTCTGGAATACTTTGGAGGGGGTATCTGTAGGCGTCAAAAAATGCTAATAGATATCCAAACATAGAGAAGATCACTCCAAAAAATCACAAGAATTGGTCTCATACTGTTTTGGAAAATCAAGACAGATATGAACTGTCTCGCCAGCGAGACAGTCTGTTACTGTCTCGGCAGCGAGACAGTCTTAATGTCTCGCGGCGAGACAGTTTTTTATTGTCTCGCAGCGAGACAGTCTTTTACTGTCTCGCAGCGAGACAGTCTTTACTGTCGCGCCAGCGAGACAGTGTTTACTGTCTCGTCAGTGAGACAGTGTTGGAATGACCAAAACCACCTTGATAACTGCCCTACACGTGTCCATTAACTGCCAAGAGGCGTGGGAAATATCGTGGGCGAAAATCACGTGAATAACTGTCAAAATAACGGAGTTTAAAACGTGGGAAGGCAGTTAAAACGAAAACTGCCAGGAATATGCTTTTTCCGAGACAGTATTTACTGTCTCGCTGTCTCGCCCGCCGAGACAGTAAACACTGTCTCGCGGCATTAACGTGTTGTTTTGTTGATCTTTGTGCAGTTATTTCCCTGAGGCTATAAATACCCCTTAGGGTCATTTCTGACGAGGATCGAGCATATTTTCGAGCAAACTAGAGCAGAGAGAAAGCAGACTTGAGTTTGGTGTGATTCCTTGAGATTTGAGCTTTGACTTAATCTTAAGAAGAACGATCATCTTACTTTGATAAGATCCTCGTTTCAAATTCTCACTTCGATAAACGAAGGAAGAATCATTAAGCCCCCTTCACGATCTGTGATTCGGAGGTCCACGAGTCAAAGCGCTCACGGCACAGGCAAAGTCCCACAAAAACAAGAATCGATAGACGATTTTTGTGTTAGTTTCTCAAAAGTTATAATTTTCTCATTTTTTTTTTGTAATTCGTTGTAAACGACCGAAGTTCAATAGAATTATCAATGGAAGCAACTTTTGCTGAAAACAGTGACAAATAGTATTAGAGTAGTTTGCTAGACAGAAGCGTAAAGCTAAGTGTTATGTGGAACGAAGTGCTACAATATGTGAACACGGTGGGAGCCACTTCTAGAGTCCACATCGCCTAGCGGTGATACTAGAATGTGTCAATTATCATGTCGTAACAAGGAGCATCGCTTATGTAAGTTGGGGTGATTGTGAGATCCCTGATTAGTCCCGCATTGGGAAATGAGTGAAAAGTTAAAGTGGCTTAAATATGTAAGTCCAAGACTCAAGTGTAACATCGGCTAGTCGATTATGGTTGTGCATTGATCCAAACAACACGTTACACTCAGTTGATCCCATAGCTTGCGTCGTGCCAAAGGGCCCGCATGTCCGGAGCGTGACAGACTATTTTCGAATTGAGACTTATTCTCTTCCTTAGGATTTAAAATTGGGTGTTCACCACTAAAATCAGATATGGATTACTCGAGCTCAAGCCCCTATTTCAATGAAGAACACTCAATTATAACCTGAAGGAGGGGAATAAAAATCCAATTTCAAAACTCTATTTCGAGCCCTAATTTAAAGTGAAGAAAATTCCTTTTTCAACTAAATGAATGAGACCAACTAGCTATGTCATGCAGCCCAAAAAAGCCACATCAAACTCACAAGATTCATCATGTGACATAAAGTCGCTGAAAAATTTATCAGCCAAAATTTATGCCTTATTGTTATTGTCACCAATCCCCACTTTAAATTTCTTATTGTTATTGGAAACACAAAATATAGCACTATTTGTAATTGCATTTAACCTAAAACTATCATATAAGCTTTCTGATAGTACACGATATGTTTTTGCTGATGAATATTTATGATATTTTTCTTTAGTAAAAATAGTTTATACTAATTTTGAACAAAAAACCGCCTATAGTCCATGATAATTTCATTAAGAAAATACCCTAATTTATATCCTACTTGTCCCATCTAATTTGAACTCACAGCTTAACAGCATAAGGTGGACATGAGAAGACCAATAGGTAGTTTGAGGTTGGTGCTGGTTGACATCATATTAATTTGGTGCCCTATCAACATTGTCGGTTGCATTCAAGTGTATGCTTAGTTTTTGTTTTTTTGATCCCCCCCCCCCCCCCCCCCCCCCCAAAAAAAAAAAAAGAAAAAAAATCAAAATATAAAGGATCATACGGATATGAATTACTATAACAATGGAGACAACAGTGGACAACATTGGCGAAATGCTGTTTGAAAGACTTGCTACTCAAACCCCAGACGATATCTTATCTTCAAACTCTAGCGTGGATCCTACTCAGATTGCTTCATACAGTTGCGCATTTGATCAGCTGGGGTCCTTAAATTTCTAATTACGTGACTATGCATGTGCTTTTGCTGGATATCCAATGTACAAGCTGACATTTTGAAGTACATGGATACAGCGTAGTTTTCTTGCTCAAAATCGAAGTCTGACAAAGTTCTCCCCGGTTGCAAAGGGAAATATTTTATGGAGTAAAAAATACTTGGATTGAGATCCTCTACTAATGCATAGTACCTTCTAATATCTCCTAATGCATATTCACCTTTCATTTTGTGCATAAGCACAAAATACGAGGAGGTACTATGCAATGAAAAGTGAAGATGAATGAGGAGATATTGCAAGGAAAAGATGTGATTATACATTCAGAAGTTTAATAATTGTATATGGTAGCATTAAGAAAGTGTCTAATGTTTTGTTCTTAGTATACTTTAAACAATGTTCAAATGTAGATAGCAAGTAAATGTCTATCAATATGATAAACCAACAAATCTTAGATATAGCATATTCTGTCAAAATGTGGAACTTAGTCATATACATAATGAATAATGCATCGCAGCTCATATCCAAGTCAAGGAACTCATAGAATTAGGATCAAGTGCAAGCATATTAGTTTAGTTTATGCAAGGATGCATACGACCACTTGGTTACCAGTATTACTGACACGAATGCATTGAAGATTTCATCGCAATTTGTTAAGATTGGTCTACATAAGGAGTAGTATTTATGTCTATGAGGTGACAATTTCTATATACTTGAATAAACTTATCTTGATTACTTTCAATAGATGAATGTTTTTTCTCCTTCGAACATAGAAAATATTTGTGTATGTGTATGTCCACTGTCCCTCACCAAATAAATTTGAAAAAATATTAGACTGTGGCACACAAACAACCCAACCACAGGAAAAAAAAAAAGGGCATTAGTTGATGTTATGTTGATTCACCATGAAATGAATGAAGATTAAAAGGAGAAACATCAAATTTTCCCAGTGTTGCCTTCTTGTGTTTATATTATTTAATCTTATCATTAAGACCAAGACAATTAGTCTTCAGTATTGCATTAGTTTGCTCGCTTTTGCTCTAGTTCTGCATAACTAGGTAACCAGAACAGTTCCAATGTTTTTGCTCGCCTTTTGTAGCTTATAAATGTAGTAAAAGAAATCAAATTTGTAAATTGGCGCAGACAATTGATTTAATAATAAATATTGCTTGAAAACATTCTGACTAGATTTGCATTCGTCCATTTTCTAGAATTTTTTTTAAACGTTTCGAATATTTTACTCTAAACAACAGTGGATTATCTTGGGGCACTGCATTGATTCCTCTTTGTGGCAAGAGAACCACAACGCACAGCTTGTGAATGCCTTCACCCACCTACAACAAATTAGCTACCAACCCAACTGACACTTGATGTGTTGTCCTTTTCTTTCTCCAAATATATATATTCATCCAAGCATAGGCTTGCATCTATGCTTCTTCCTTAAATACATAATAAAAGACAGGTCTGAACTCTGAAGAGCAAGTAGCCTCATGTTTTTATGGTCTCGCATATAACTACCATCTCTTAACTCATAAATAATCCATAAAACCTGGACCCAGAGGATTTTAACTTAATTATCCTCCACCAGTAACTACTGTACGAAGTAACTTCTGCTGGGCAATGCAAAGGTAAAGTTCCCATTCTAGGAAACACAACTGACAATGAAACATGAATTTTATGCGAGCCTGAGTCATTGCTCACTCAATTTTGTAGGAGCTAAACGCAACTCGCTTTAGGTCGAAAGAAAGCTGGTTTTAAGACAAGAATGGATGTTAATCCAAGAATCGTGTCAAGTTGAGCATTGTTTGGAACCGGTGGAAGCCATACATGTGAGCATTGCAGACGCCATTCGTGGATCAGGTATAAATTTGTCCTGATTAATGCTCATCAATAAAAGACATAAATCCACGGTGGAAGTAGCAGGACATAATCTAAAGGCTATTTTACATGTTTAGCACCTAACAAATGCGCTTTCAGATCTTTAACTCTGTCCTTGACAAAACACTAAGGGGCTGTTTGGATCGGGTATTTTGAAGGGGAAAGGATGGGGAAAGCTGCCAATTTGTTAGTGGCAGTTTTCCCCCAAAATCTCCTCTTATATAGGCGATTTTGGCGATTTTGGGGGAAAGCTGACAAATTGGCAGCTTTCCCCCTCCTTTCCCCTTCAAAATACCCAATCCAAACGGGCCCTAATTATTACCAAAACTTACCAAGGACACTGAGAAAAGAGTATTTTCAAGCCAAAACCAAGCTGTGCTGATAACCTAAAGAATGAGCATGTTTTATTGACAACAAAAAATGCCCGCACTATTAAAACCTCCAAAAAAAACTCAAGAACCAAAAAACCGTGAAATGAGACCTACACAAACCATGCCTTAATACTGAAAACATAAAAATATTGTAGCAGACCTATTACCCTAATCAGCTTGCACGTATAAAGCAATTTTCTGGGTTATCGTTATTATAACATAAGCTATGGCCATTCATCTATAGACACGCTGAGGACAGACAAAATTTCAGCGGACCATGTAATGGGCATTTTGGTCACATGTCTCCTAGCTTTAGGCCTTGTGATCGATCAGGATAGCATTATGGAGGGAGGTGTTTCCCAACTTATTAGGTGACCGTTTCTTTCATTTTTCATACTCTCTTTACTTTATTAAAAGAAAGGTTAATTAATTTTATTAGCTTGATTGATGTGATCTTAGTGGACTATGGTTCAACCTAACAAATCATCCTTGTGTGTTCCTCTTTGGCATTTACTTTTGAGAATTTCATGCTGTTCCGGGTTCCAGTACCTCATGTCATGGAAGTGAATCATCAAGCGCGCACCTCGTTTTTTGATGACTGGAACAAGTAAATAGACATACATTCAGTAGTTCAAAACAAAACATAATAATTAGCAAAAGAATAATAACAAAATCTTACCCTTGGCATCAAGAATTTACAGAGTTATAATAGCTAAACAAGGATGCTTATTTCTAATTCCTACAAGCACGGATAATAAGTTGGACAAATTTTCCAAACCACCCTATTTGAACATTTAATCCAAAAAAACGACATGTTTTGAACTTATTTGCAAAAATCGATCCGGTTTCAGCCTTAGCGCTGAAATCAGGTTGGTTTTTGTGAAAAAGCTTCCGAAACTTCACGGGAGTTGAACTCCCAGGAAGTTTAGTAAAGCTGCTAATTTCACGGGAGTTCAACTCCCGTGAAGTTTTATAGTTCAAAATTTTTTTCTTGAACTATGAAACTTCACGGGAGTTCAACTCCCGTGAAGTTTCCGATTTTTTTTTCAAAACCCTATCCAGTTTTAGCTCCAGAGCTGAAACCAGGTCGGTTTTCGAAAATAAGTTCAAAACATGTTTTTTTTGGGATTAAATGTGGAAATAGATTGGTTTTAAAAATTCGTCCATAATAAGTTCCTAATAGTATGTATATAAAATTTTTACAAAGAGAAACATGCAAAGATCGATCGTCAAGTCGGACTGTAGTCCAGACCAC